TTCGCTCATGCCTAGGTCCCTCTTAATTTCCTGATGAAGTTGCTATGTAAAGGTGTTGCCTGTTCTAGTTAACTTGGGCTGTTTGTGTTGCTTTTGACACAGTGAGGTTGAGTGGTGAGAGCCAAGCTGGGTGGGACTAGTGCTGGGTTTTGGAATGTGACGGACTTGCTGCCTCCTGGTGACTAGGGCTCCCCACTTGGAGTAGGGTTATTGGCTGGGAGTGCCCCTGTGCTGTGAATGGCACCTAATTGATTTTTCCTCTCTGAGCCAGGGGCTGGTCATGACTAATTTGAGCTGAATAGCTGCAAGAGAGAAAACTGCAGGGAGCACGGTTGAGTGTGGGAAAGGCAGTGGAGGAGAAGAGGGCCAGGGTGAGTGGGGAGACTTGGACCAAGTTGGTCTGTTGCCAAGTCCTCCCTTGGAGGAGAAAGAACTGAAACAGGTGTTGGCCTGGACGAGTGAGCGAGGCTTTGGTGTTACCGGAGGGGTAATAGACAAAAGGAGAAGAAGGAATCGAAGGATTTAGGAGGGGAAAAGGTGTCTTTTTGGTGCTGGTGCACAGAACAAAGCATCGCAAATAAATCATATCACCTGGTTCCTTTTGTACCTCTGTCAAAGGCCTCTTGCTCCACAAAACAGATAACATCTCAGGCTTAAGGGGAGGCATGACAAGGAGGGAAGTCATTAAATTGGGTTCCTCTTTCCTTTCTTCACACACTCTTGGCTTTAAAAACAATCTCCCTTTTAGTCTCTTGTCTTGAGGCCTCAAAGGACTCTTCTGAAGCAGAAGAGCCAAAGTCATTCCAGTTCCCTGCCTTCATACAGATTGGACCTTTTATCAGCACTCAATCAAGAGATCTTCAGGGAAGCTGACACTCCTGTTTCCGTGACTCTGTCTTCTATAAGTCTTCCTTGAGGCTTAACACATTCCTTTTTGTTGTAATCTGTTTTGTTTCTGTATCTAAAGTTAGGATGGACAGCTGCAGGATCCTACCCTCTAAAGAAGACAAAGTAATTCTATCTATGAAGTTCAGCCATTGAAATTGGTGGAAAAGTATTACCTAGTGTATGTGGAAATAGGAGTTCGTTCTTTTAGTTTTTGTGATTTTCCTCTATAGCCTTGAGGAGTGGGGTCCCATGAAAATCCCTTCTACTTCCTCCTCACTACCATTTGGTCCCTTACTCCCTTACTCCCTTCCTCCCTCCAATTGGGGAGGGATCTTGGGGGTCAGAACCTTGACCAGCCTGTCCTGTTGGATGGACTGACTCCTAGGGAATAGGGTTGGTGTGATCTCCTTTGATCCCAGATCAGTAGAAAGGTGGAGACCCATTCTTCTATCCCCATGAATGAAACTATCCTGACATTGAAAAAATTTCTTTCCCCAAATAAATGTCTGGTTTTGGCACAGGGACAGAAAGCCAGGTTTGGGCACTGAAGAGGAGCAGAACCCAGGCTGTGGTTTCTGGTGGGCTGACAACCCTGGACTTATCTATTTGTTATGGGTTGTACTTCTAACCCAAGACCCTGGATTAGATAAGTAAAGGGTCGTGGGTATGTGGAGCTAGGGGGCCCCAGGGCTGTGAAGGGAGCAAGGGGAGGAAAGTCAGTTAAACTTCTGACACTTCTCCAACTAAACAAACAAAGCTTTACAATTGGAATGACCTTCCCCCTCTCTGCCCTCTCCCTCTCCCTACCTCCCTTGTCCTTCCTAGGTACTGATGCTGATGCCAACTTTCCCTCTTTCTTCACTTTTTGGAAGTGGTTTCCATCCACTGAAGGCAAAACCAGAGAGATTGAGTGACATTCTGGAATGTGAAAGAATAGGTTGCAGTTGAGTGAAGATTGACTAAGAGTTAGAAATGGCTTAAGAAGAGCAAAGCCTGAGAATAATGTAGTAAGAGAAGGTAGGGATTGGAAGCTTTGGAAGAAAGAACATGGCACTGGGGAATCATAGTCTGGTGGACTCTCCAGAAACTGTCCCATCCCTTCCCTAACTATTGAGTCCCAACCTCAGTGACCTTAATCTTTTTCACACTTATTTGTCATAAGGTCAATTATGCCATTTCCCTCCCAGCTCTCATTCTTGAGCAATTTTCAGATTCATTTTGTTGGTCTTGCCTCATCCTAGTTCAGAAGTTACTTATATTGTTGGTCAAGGACCTTGTGGTTTCTGTTCTGCCATGGCATCTTCCTGCCTTAACTCACTCATCCTATTTTTCCACTAGGTCATCAGATCTCATTTGCTAAAAGCACTGGCGGGCACTAGACGTATTCCCTTCCCCACCCAAATCCTTCACACTTTCTCAATGAACTCAGATTTAACTCTGCTTCAACTCCATTCTTCCTTGTATACTAAGCCAGAATACAGATGAGGCAACTGGCCCTGAACCTGGTATGTTACCTGACCACCTAGCAGTCATTAATGAAGTAACCTTTAAAAACTGAAGGGAATTGGTCTTCTTAGTTGTAAGGCTATATCTTTTTTTTTTTTTTTTTGGTGATTCTTTAGGTAACCTGGGATAGGAACTTTTGGGGGTATGTTAGGGTTCAAGGACCACTGGGATAAGGAATAAACAAGGGCAGAACTTTCTTGATATTGAACAGAGCACACTTGCCCTTGTTTTGGAGCTCTAACTAGAGACATGGAAGAGCTTGGACTGCCATGAAGAAGGTAATTTTCCATTTTCTAAGTTTCCAGATAAAGAGAACCTGTGACAGTCAAAGTCATCTACTCCATTTGTCAGGGGGTCAGTCCCCCTTGGAAGTCTAGCCTTCATCCCTCTTGTAGTTTCAACTGTTTATCTGTACTCCTTGGAAATGTTCCCATTCTGCTTCTCTGGAGATTGTTAATAGGGAGCTCTTCAACCTAAGGCTCAGTCTTTCCAGTTCTTCTAACTCTTGCACTCTCAGCCTTCTCATTCCTTGTCATTTTTTTTCTTCAGATGCCCAGAATTGTGCTCATAGTAGACAGTTACTTATTGACATTTATTGAATTGACTTCCCTGCCCCTAAGAAGCTGCAGAACCCACTTAGTAAGGAGTGATGGAAATTAATAAATAGAATATTGACATGGAAATCAGGCAAATAATGGTTTGCTTCCTAAACTGAGCAGATCTCAGCTAGGTTTGTCCATGTGAGGCAAGAATATGGGGTGAGGCCAAGGAGAAATAGCTAATTCCTCCTTCGACTTTCTTCTGAGTGTCAGGGCCTGGGGCACTAACTGCCCTAGCTATACTCTGCCTCAGTTTCCTCCCCACAGGAACAGGTAGCTGTAAATGCCTCAACCAGTTGGCCCTGCTTAGTTCCCCTCCTCCTTTTATAGGACCTTGGGGAACAACTAGCTTCTCTGTCTCCACACCCAAGGATTAGACATTAGGAGTGGAGAAACATGAACTGGATGAAAAGTATTTGGTGGGGGTAGGGCCTGTATACTAATATCCCACTTCAGAAATTGCTGGTTTGTGTTATGAGGGTCCTCTTTCCTCAATTCCAGGCAGAGTAGGGAGTATAGGAATCACGTGAGAAGTGGTATAATATTTTTAGCTCAGGCCAAGTGTTTGGAGTCATTTATGTGTATGTGGGAGTGAGAGGGTGGGGTACAGTATAATCTAGTCCTTCTGCCCTTGTACCCCGTATTTCTACCCTCAGATATTCTTGGGTTTCTGTTGTCATGATGACAGTTAGGTCCAGGGCAGAGTTAGGCAACTCTGTCATAACTGGCATAATGAGTATTGTCTGGTTTTCCAGTCCCTGAAAAAATCCTAAAGGCATCTAAACACACAAAGACTTTAAAAGTAAGGTTATTAATATCTTCAATGATAGCATCAATGTGTTTTATAACCATGATGTGAGGGTCTTAAAATGCTTGGTATGGAATATGGCCTGCCCACTTAACTTTTCTAGTCTGTGGTTCCCTCAAGGTCTAAATTTGTGATCCTCCGACCTCTCTGGGCCTCAGTTTCATCATCTGGGATAGAGGTGGCATAGTGAAGCAAATAATGTACCTGGAGTGAAGACCTGAGTTTGACTCTTCCCTCAGGCACATAACAGCTATGTGAACCATGGACAAGTTACTTATGCTGTCAGCCTATTATTTTATTGACTGTAAAATGGGCATAATAGCACCTACCTGACAGGGTTCTTGTGGGATTCAATTGGGATAATAATATGTAAAGTATTTTACAAATCTTAAAACACTGTATAAATGATGTGAGGGGGTTGGACTTAATGACCTCCAAGATCCCTTCCAACTTTAAATGTTCTGTAAGAAGAGGTTTCTCTAAGCCTCCAAGTGATATATATCTCCAACCCCAAACCCATCCTGACTAGCCCTAGAATCCAGCCTGAGAGTTCTGTAGTCCAGAGATGGGGAAATTTCAGGTTTTGGACTCATGGACACCTTAGGGGAAAATGATTTGGTTGCCTAGCAACCAACGGATTGACCAAATGGCCACATTGGTTTCATTTATGACTTTGGCAAAGCAGAAGAAGCTGCTTTAGGGAAAAGGAAGGCAGAGAAAGGCTGTGGTTGAAATCATAGAATTTTAGAACTGGAAAGCACCTTTGGGACCATCTAATTCAACCTCTTAGGAGGGAATTCTGGATCCGCCTAGGGTTATTCTGTCCTTCCTCCAGGCCACACAGAGGATTGTTTTCATCTAAGTTCTGCAGAAGAATTTGGACCCTCTTATGTCCATGTTCCTTCCTTTACTGGGGAATTAATATCTTTCCCCTCCATGTGCCTTCTTTGGGAGCAAGGAGAGATTAGTCATGCTTCCTTCTGTTGTCTGTGCAATGAGATAGGTAGCATGTTGGAATTCTAACAGCATATGTTTGAATCCTGCTTCTGCTTACTTATGTGTGACTACAATGCGTCGGTCACATTTAACTTCCAGGAGCCTTTTCCTGATCTGTAAAATGAGGGGACTGGGTAATCTTTAAGGCCCCTTCTAGCTCTGAATCCTATGAGTTTGGCTATAGGAGGAGGAGAGCTCAGTGCTAAACTCTTTGACTTTATTATTTTTCTTTCAGGTTCAAGTGCTAGATTGGGTCATGTGACCACCCCAAAACTCAAAAAAAAAAAAAAAACATTTAAAAACCCAAAAAAGGGCCAATGGCTATCTCTGTCCTATGTCACTTAACTCAGAAACTGCCCCATGTCTTCATTTCCGTGCATCCTTTGGGAGACTTGTCTTGGTAAAGAAGTTCTCTTTTCTTTTAAGGCCTCCCTTGTGCCCCCTGACATCCCTTCTCCTCATTACCCCCAGCCTTCTCAGATGACCCGTACAGAAACAAAGTTGTTCGCGTACACAGTGTTGACATATACACAAAAGTAAATAATAATTATGATATGTTCAAAGGGGGCACTGTCTTTGTCCACATACTTGAAGCAGGGGAACATTCCCTAGCTCCTTTTGTGTCTCTGAGCCCTGTCTCTAATAACCTCTTTGGGGGGACAGGAGATTGAGACACTCAGTAGGTTCATGTCCAAAAGAAAAAGAGCCTTAGATTCCCCCAAGGTCTTTATTTGGTAGGAGTGGGGGTGTCTTCTAAGTATCCCCCCAAGTTCAAGGCTCTAGTTTCCCTTAGAACCTGTATTGGGAGGTCATATGATGCCCCTGCCCCTTGCCTGGCCCCTGGGCCTGAGATCAGGTGTTGATTCTGGAAGAGTCATCTTCTGATCTTGACCTCTCCGGTTCTCCCCTCCCTCCCCACCATGGATGTGGAGTGGTGGTGATGATCGTTTTTCTTGGATTGGGGTAGTAAGAATAGTAAAGAATAGGGCTGGAGAGGAAAGACTGGGGAACCTGCCAAGATTAGGAGGTAGGGGTGAAAAGGAGATGTCACCCCTCCCCCAAAGTACCTTCTCTCCTGAGAATGGGAAAAAGAATGCCTTGCAAGGCCCCCATCATCCCCTCACCAGGGAAAGATAGTCAAGTTCCTTTGGCCAGGTTCCTGCACCCTCCTCAGGGCAGGCTAGAATATGGTGGGCCTTCTGAATAAACTTGCCAACAACAATAAGTCTGGTGCCTTTGACCTTGGCCCAATCTTATCCCCAACAAGGCCCCTGGTCATAACTGTGACCACTCAGAGCTTTGCCTATCGAGGCATATCTTCATATCTCTCTAGCCTTCTATAGGACTAAAGAGGGCCCCAGGGATCTTGATGAAAAATGAACCAGTGGAGGGAGAATTCCCTTAACTCTTCGTTGAGGGCCCTATTTTGTGAAGCCTTCTGCTATACATGATGCTTCCCAGTCCACCAGACCTTAAAACTCCCTGCAGCCCTCAACATCCCTCACCATCCGCCCTGGCCCTCCTTGCTCCCCCAAATATCGAGAGGTATTTCATGTCCGTAAAGTGCCCGTGGTAAGTGCTCAGGATTCATCTCTTTGCTTCAGCTGCTTGCTGCTTCTGTTCCACCAAGAGGAGGGAACTGAGGCATGGGGGGGAAGGAAAGGGGAGAGAAGGATAGGTGGGAGGGGAATGCAGTTAGGAATTGGGAACTGGGGGAAGGGACAGGAGAATGACTTGCTTTTGGAACCCATCTCCCCCTACTCTGCCCTAACTCACTTGTTGTCATGCTCCATCCCCTACCGCACACAGTTTCTGATGTGTCCACTCTTTGCTGCCAGGTATTACTGGCTTCCAAAAAAAAAAAAAAGATAAAAATCATAATTAGAGTAATAGACACTTACTTTCATAACTTCCCCTTCCCTGCTTGCCCTGAGCTTGTGGGACTTGGAATACTCTCTCCATAATTCTTCCTTCCCTTGGTCTGCTACTCTCCAATTCCCAGCCCAGGGTGGTAGTTTTTATTTAAACTCTTCAAAACCTTCAGTGAGAATCACCACTAAACTCCCCCCCTCCCCCAGTCCCCACTCCCCCAACTAGTATAGTTCCTGTTTTCTCTCCCTCAAAAACCCTGGAACTCAGGGGGCCTCTAGTTTCAAGCTATGGCCCTTTTACTGACCTGAAAATGGCAAGGGGAAGAGGGATACCACAGGCTCTTTGGTCTCTCTTAGCTAGGGGGCATTTGTGCACACTGACCAGTCATCATTGCCTTCTAGTTATATCACTGAACAGGGGAAAGGGTAAGTCTTGGAGTCATTTGCTGTCATAACTGAACTTGGATATGTTGGGACTTTGCTTGTTCCCCCCTCCCTCCCTTCCCCCCCCCCCCTTTCTGGGCCTTACTGTCTAGGACCACTGGCTCTACAATTAAACTTGAAAGTGAGCTGTGTGGGGAATTCAGACTCCCTCTGCCCCTAACTCACAACCCTGGATGTTTATTATACAAGTGCTTGAGTGGGTGGGTATTGGGGTATAAGCAGGGTTCCATGACTTAAGGAGTAAAATAGGGTACTGTGGAAGAAGGGGAGGGGGAATCTCAGAATCTTTCTATGTAAAGCCAAACACCAGAAATTAAAAGAAAAATAACAATAAATAAATAAATAAATGTCAAAATCCTTCCCACTCTGCCATCCCCAACTCCTACCCCCTTTTCCCCTGTCCACTATGGGAAGGAGGGAGATATCTGGGCCTGGGTTTGATACCCCTTTCTCCTCCTCTATAGGCCATGGTGCATGTAGGGAATGTCCCATCTTACACCAAACCCTTCACCAGGCCCAAAGAAAAAAAGACTTGGTATGAGGCTTACTCTCTGTCCCTATCTGTCCCTATATTTCTCACTTGATTTCATCTCTGCCTAGTCTCTCTCTGCCTCTTTTATCCCTTTGTCCTGCTCACATTCTTCATATCCCTGTCCTTCTGCCTGTCTCTATCTCTGTCTCTACTTCACTCTCTCCCTCTATATCTTCTTTCCACACACCCTCATCTGCAAATCCCAAACACTCCCCAACTTGCCCGTTGCCCTTTCCCCCACAGATCCCTCACCCCTCTTTTCTCTATCCCCTACCTTCCTCTGCTGTATTGCACACTGCTTGGGGTGGGATGGGGAATAGGACATTTTGTTTAAGAGGGGTTGGAGGGAGGAGCTCTAGGGCCTGGGTGGGGGGGAGGGTCTGGGCTGGGGATCCAGGGTGGGGTTTGTGGGGGGAGAGGGTCCTTCTCATTCCCCACCTTAAGAGCAGCCACAGCGATCCACCACCATGCCGGGGATCTTGCCGTAGATAATCTGCTGCTTATCGTTAAAATAGAGCATGTTGATGGGGGACATCTTGGTGGGAGTACAACAAGGCCCAGCTGAGCCTCGGGGATTAGCCTGCTGCACCAGGTGGGTATGTGGGTACTTCTGCATGAACATATACTCGCACTGGCCAGAACAGTAGTTGGCCTTGTAGCGTTTGGGTGCGATGATCCAGTCCCAGCCGAAGGCCTCAAAGTCCACAGTTAGTGGGTATCGGCAGCAGCGGGACTCACTGGAATGCTCATCACAGTCGAGGCCCAGATTTCTCCTGGACCGTTTTGTATTCTCCAGCACATGAAGCTCCATGAATGGGTGCTGGCAACGCAGAGGGAAAAAAAATGTCACAATGCTTCCTGCAGCACCTCTTGTCCTCTAACTCTTCTATTTCCATTCTGCTCTCAGCCCTCAGACGCCCAGAAGGATGAATATGCATGCTACAGGTACTACCTCCAATTTTTTCTCCTAGCCCCTAAATAACCATCCCTAACCCCTGCTAATAGGGGTAAGTCCCCATTAACTAAACCTTTTTGTTCCCTGAATTCCATCTGGCCACCCCAGCTCCCTGGCTAAGTCACCAGCCAAGTCTTGGACTTAAACAACTCTAATACAGTAATACCAAATCACAGAATGTAGAGCTGAAACAAGGTAGATCTCAGAGATCATGTTAGACTTAGTTCAGTCCCTCTCTTATTTTACAGATGAAGGAACTGAGGCCAAAAGAAGGTAAATTTGCCTAAAGGTTGGGATGCAAACCCAGATCCTAATGAATCCCAAAACCAGTTAACTACCAATTTCCATGCTCTTTGAATATAGCTTTATCTGTGAAATCTTTCTACTGTAATTTGTGCCCAAGCTCAAATTTCCTCTAGCCACTGTGGTTCTAAGTTAGGAACCCTGTTCCACTCATCTATATGGTTCCTCCCAAAAAACTCTCTAAGTGCTGAATTTTGTTCCCTCTGACCTCATTAACCCTTAGCCCCAGAACATCATCTGATGTTCACTTTCCTAGTGATTCTCTTTCGTGAATCTCTGCCACTTTTTTCCAGCAACCCCCACATTCCATTCTGCTACCCCTCTCCCTCAAGGCAGGGTTTCCTATATAGCCAACCCTCCCCCCCCTTCCCCCCACTTGCAGTGCTCACCAGCCCTTCAGCCCCTGGCCCCAGGGAGGTAACAGCCAGGTCAGTGCCACTGGGATCGAAAGCGTTGATCTCAATGCCCCAGTTACTTTGTGGCTGGCGGAACCAACTGTGCAGCACCTGTTTGAAGTCGATGCTCTGCCAGTGGCCCGATCTTGAGTGCAACTCGATCTTGAGGGATCGGATCCGGATGTGGCGCCGCCCCCCACCCCCACTTCCTGCAGTTCCTTCCCCACCGAGGGGCTTGAGACGAAGGATTTGCAGGTAGACAGTGGCAGGTCGGGGTACTGGCCTCAAGTACACCCACAGCTGGGCCTTCAGCACTTTTGTGAACATCACTTTGGGGCTGAAGTGGAAGTGGCAACAATGGGGGCTGCCATCTGTCTGCACAGCAGGGTCCGCTGGAGAAGGAGGAGAGGACAGAATCAGTCAGGGATGAGGGGCAGGGAGAGCTCTAGGAGCAAGAGAAGGGGGTCGGGGGCCTGAGGCAGAGCTCCTCTCTCCCCCACCCCCCCATAGATCATGGGCATTTTGATTCTGGCTGAACTCTTACAGCTTTCCTAATTCCTCTTAATCACAGGATCCCTGGAGTGGTCTCTACCTAGCCCCTTAACCTTCAGGCAGAATGGCTTCCTCACTCAGCTGGGGCTCTCACCTCACTTCTATTCTGAAAGCTTCATCTATTTTCTGTTTCACTCTTTGACCATGTCCCCTATATCCTAAAGATTTCTCTTGCTCTTGTTACAACTTGAGGTCATCTCTTTCATCCTGTTCTCACGGGAAATGGAAAGCAGGGGGCAGTCAAACAAACATTTGTCAAAGCAACTGAGGCTGTATTGTAAGCATTGTGCTAGATTGCTTGAGGATAGAGGATACAGAGGTAAAATCTTTACACAGTAGGATGAGGAGGGATTTATTTTTTGGAGGAGAGCGATCATTCTTCCTCAGCTTCTCATCCTGGTGTGTGTGTGTGTGTGTGTGTGTTTCCTTTAGGTTCATCCTTTAATATACATTGTAGGCCTGGGGTCACATATAAAAGGGAAAGAAGGTTGCAGCCTCATATGAATAAGCCAATATTAATAGCACTTTAAGGTTTGCAAAGCACTTTACAATACACCCACATACCTTGTTTGATCTATGAAACACTCTCTGGAATTCAGACTAGTATCCTTTTGCCATTCTGAACACCCACAATGACCCTTATAAAGCAGAAGAGATGCTACCAAAATCCCCCTTCCTTATATGCCAAGGCTAATTTCTTGTCCCTACTATCATAACTTGTTCCATTGTTTGAGAATGGGGCAGAGCAGATCTTCTCCATCTTTCTTTGCTTGCCACTCAGCAATACCAACACACATTTTAAGGATTAGGTTCTTAAAGAATAGCTTCCATTGGATTCAGGAAGACCTGAGTTCAAATCTGATAAGTGTCAGATGCTTGACACTTATTAGCTGTGTGACCCTGGGCAAGTTACTTCACCCCATTTGCCTAGCAATTAAAAAAAAAAAGAATAGCTTCCAGAAGGGAACAATCCTTAAACCAGTTCAGTGCCAGATGCTATATCCTCATATGCTATAACCTCACATGCTATGACCTCAGAGAGCCCTTTTCCCTCTGGTATCCAATGGAGATAGGAAATAATTAATCCTATCAGAAGGTAAGATCCATCTTTTCATTGGATTTTGAAAAGTCTCTCTTGAGAAGAAGGGTGAGGCATCACCCCTTCTTTGCCTTTTTCTAATCCCTAGTCTTCTCCAGCCTCAATTGCCTCCAGACCATATAAGAACCACCACTCCATAGAGACAGATAAGGAAATAAGACATGAAAAAAGATCCAGGAATGGCTACAAGAGATTTGAAGGGGCGTGAAGAATGTCCTTATGTGCTTATTGATATATAATATGGGAACAATTAAATCTCTGTTTCCATCACCCTTGAGTGACCCTTCCTGGTGGGGGTTGGGGGTGTCATGAGAATGGCAAAGAGATGCTTAACGGTCATGCCTTTTGTTACAAGTCTCAAGAGTTTTCTGCCTCAGCAACTAGAATTTTCTTGGGTTTCTTCCTTAGTAACCAAGGTAAAATGATTAACATGATATAAATCCCCCGAGTGGGAAGACTAAGCTGGGACAAACAAACTTCCTTATGCCTCCAACTTTCAAGTTAAGCAGTTCAAAATGAAGGGTAAGTCAGAAAAGTCCATGTCAGTGGAAAAAAGGAGGGAAAAAAGAGGGCCACCTGGGCTTATTGGGGAAAGAAAATAATCTTTTGCATACCACATGAGTGATCTGTGTCAGCTAGCCCCCTCCTTAGCCAGCAAAGCCCATCTCTTCTTATGTAGCTGCTCTGCTAGAGTCCCCTTGTCCCAAACTGTAAGTCCACTGAGCTGTCCAACAGCCAGCCAGGGCTGGGAGCCAGGATCAGGTTTTATTTCTCCATGCTTCTGATTCATTTCACTGAGCAGTGTGGCATATGACTGCTGATACAGTGTTTCCCCTCACCCCTTTACTATGTAGCATCCCTTCTTCAAGGTGTGCAATGATGGGACTGCAGAACACAGCTCTGGGGAAACAAGGATGGGAGGAGAGGAGAGAAGAAATTGATGAGTACAGATGGGAGAGTGACACAAGATCTGATATTGGGAAGACAGTGAAAGGGAGAGACTCAGAAATGTGGGGGAAAGGAACTGAGGTTAGGGTAGGAAGAAAACTAAAGAGGAGAGAAGCAGTCAGTGGTGGTAGAAAGTGGGGAAAAAAGATGGGAAAGGAGGGAAAAGGGGCACCTGAGCTTTAGGGGGGGAGAGAAAAAAGAGAGGAGATATAAGGCACTAAGCAGTCAACACAAAGGGGGGATTGGGGAGCAGCCAGGAGTCCCCAACACACCACAGCCTCAGACAGTGAGGAGGGGGCAACATCTGTGTTGCATTGAGCTGTTTGGTGGCAGGCAGCAGCGGGTCAGGTTTAGTAGGCGGCGCTGGGGTTGGGGGGGGCTGCGGTCGGGAGCGAGGTCACCGCACTATTTTCAGCTAGAGCCCATCCCCCCCTCCTCACCCCCCCCAATGCACACTGGACAGGGGCCCAGAGGGCCTGGGGGCAGAGGGGCAAGTTAGGGGTTTGAGGTGGGGGAGGTGAGATCTCATTCGGTTCCCTACTTGAGGGAACTGACTGGAGGGGCTGAGGTTGAGGGGTGAAGAGGCTATGGGGGGCTCTAAGGTCAGGCACAGGAGGTTGGGAGGGGTGGGGCCTGGGGTCCAGGGTTGAGTGCCCGGCTGGGGTTGGGGGAGGGGAGGAAAGGGGGGAGGGGAGGTTCTCTGCTGACAAACACCTCCCCTGATTAGCGGAGCACAAGTCTCTTATTAAAGCCGGTCCCTGGGGATTAGACTATAAAAGTCTCTTTTTCCTTTTCCCCTCTCTCTTCCCTCCCCTCTCCACACTCCCCCTCCCTTCTCAAGATCTCTGGCTCGTTCTTAAAGGGGACGTATACCCCCGGTCCAACTCTGGGCCCCTAGTTTATTCCTGTTTTAGGGTGGGATGGGGTTTACAGGGGCGGGGGTTAGGGGGACCGCTTGTTTCATCCTCCCTCTCCCCCTTCAAAACTGCCGCCTTCCTTTCTCCGTCGTCCAGTCATTCCTGATCCCAGTGCCAGTTACCTAAAAACTCGTTTAGTTAAGGGGATGCCTAAAGGAGTTTAAAACTCTTCCAAACCAATAATTATACATTCTGGGACCCCTAACACAGCTGCGAAGGTCGGCCTCAGCCTATGCTGCAAGGAGCAAGTTTCTTAAATCCCTCACTATAAATACCCCCCTTTTTTTAGAGACCAGCGCTCTCCCCCTACTCCCCCAGGGCTGCCCTGCTGGGTCACAACTCGACTCTTAACTGTCGTGCCTTCTTCATCCTGGACCCCATTATTCTTTCCCACTTGGAACCCCCAAAAGTCTTGACTCTGAAGAGGAGATTGAGTTCATTCTGGGAAGTGTAGAAAAATACTATGCCATAATATAAGGAGCTTAGTAGGGTGAGGCCCCCTACCAGCTAGCTCTCAGTGCCACCTAATAGGGGGCATTTTCTATATGCCAGACACTCCCTCACCCCCAAGCTTTTTACAACCATCTGCCTATAAAACCAGTCCCCCCTTCTGTTCAGAGGCCATAAAACCAAATAGTCTTGGGGGTGGGGTGGGGAGCCAACTCCCAGGGGAGAGGAGGGGGCTGGTCCCCCTGGAGTTTGGGGGGAGACCTGACTGGGGGAGGGGCATGGGGGATCACATGACCCCCTAGGGATGGGAGGTGGGGGAAGCATTGGCCTGGATTTTCCAGGTCATAAAATTTCAAAGCCACAAGTCTATTAACATGTTCACCTTCCGCTCCCCCAGGCAGCCAAGAACGAGGATGCTGGGTGCTCCCCCACTCCCAATCTCTTTCCATGCCTTCCACTCCCCCTTCTGGGTTTTGATTCCGCTCATCATGTTTCTATATCCTCCTAACTTGAGAGGGGGCACACCTTCAGAAGTTTGACCTACGATGTTGACTAGAGGATTCCTTTCTTACTCAACCAACAGTAGATGGGAACCCGCATCCTAGTGTCTCATGGTGCCTGAAGAATTGGCAGGTCAAACTGGATTTCAATCCCCCCACACTAACTCTGGGGGTTGGTAGTGAAGAAATCAGGAGAGAGAGCCTGGAACATGGGTATTTTGAAGGAGCAGGTGCTAATGGATTCTAGAAGATTTTCAAAGGTTTGACTCAAGTGGGCATGCCTAGGGTGAAAATTTGGGGGCACTCCAGGGTCATAATATTATGCAGGCAGGAGCTGTGTTTGGAGTGCCTACCATAGCAATTCAATTTGGAATTAGAACACAAGATTTGAATTTTTAATCCTGACTCAGGATATATATATATATATATATATGTGTGTATATATATGTGTGTATATATATATGTGTGTATATATATATATATATAGTAAACAAAATGTGCAAATAACTTCAAATCAATTTCTCTCTGCCTCTAAACTCTGATCTTTTGAATGTTAGAACTGTCTCTTCCACCACTCTCAATACCCCACTACTCAGGGTAGGAGAAACTAGGTTAAGGCCAGAGTCTGAAAAAAGGAGCTGTTTGCAGGAAGAGCTTTATTAAAGACCCGTCTGCCATCCAAACCAAGCAATACCTAGAAAACTTTGCCTACTCCATCTTCATGCATTCTCTATCTCTCTCCTTCCTTTCTCAACTCTCCCGGTGTGTGTGTGTGTGTGTACACTGCTGGGGTCATCACTGTATATCATTCCCCCACAAACTTGGCCCCAAACTTCCAGGGCGCTCCCTCTATGACTGGTGTGGATTGGAATAGGAGAAAAGGAGGGGAAGTCCCCCAGGGGTCCTAGCCTGAGCCTAGTGGAAGGGATAGCGTCTCTCTACTTCTTGGGGTAAGTCCCTCTGATTTTGCCCCTGGCTTCGATTCGAGGACAAGGGTATTATCTCGAGGGCTTAGGTTGATGTTGGTTTTTGAACCATTTGGAGGGCAAATTTGGGGCACACCGTTCAAGTTGCTACCTTCCTCAGTCAGGGGACTAGGTGTCACGTTGGGGGCACTTTTCTTCTTGTCCAGGTACCGGCGTAACTCTCCCCCCTATTCAGGTCCACTCCGCTTCAGTCCTCCCCCCTTCCCCCATCCCACACTCCGTTCTCCCGGAAAGGAGACGCTAGGCGTCCGGGCCGAGGTCACTTACTTTCCTGGGCCATGCTGATGACGGTCTCGGTGGTGGCGTGGTACTCGTCCTCCTCCAGGAAGTCCTCAGGCTGCAGCGCGTCGCCTTGGAAGTCGTGTAGGTCCAGAATCTCCTGCAGGGGGGGCGCCTTGGGCAGGAGCTGCTTCACTACCTCGCGGCTGATGTTGGGCGCTTCCTTTAGCCTCAGTTTGCTCAAGATCTGCGACTTGATGCTCTCCAGCCTCAGCTCCTTGCTGTGCTGGCGCCACACGCACACGGGGCAGCCCTCCGGCTCCTCGGACGCCTGGGTCCCGCGCTCCCCGCCGGCCGCCGGGCCCTCGGCCGCCTCCCCCCGGGGCCGCAGCTCCAGGGCGAGGAGCAGGAGGCAGAAGAGCACTGGGGCCGCGGGCACCATGCTGGAGGGGAGGGGAGGGAGGGCTGGGGGGGGCGGGGACGCCTGAGTCCCGTGGGGGGAGGGAGGGAGGGAGGAGGGGGGTCGGGGCCGCGCGGGACTGGGGGGCTGCCCGGCCGGGGGGGCCGGGGGGTGGGGGGGGCCCGGGGGCGGCGGGCGCGGCGGGCGGGGCAGGCGGGCGGCAGGGGCGGGAGGCTGGGGGGGCCGGAGCCCGGGCCTGGCCCTTTATAGCCCCGGCCCCCGTGTCGTCAGCGGCCGCGATTGGCTGCGGAGCCAACAAAAGAGGCAGCGCTGTCATCCTAGGCTAGAGAGGGAGCCCAGAGAGACTTAGAGATAGAGACGGTGGAGACAGAGACTCCTCAGGGAGACAGGGAAAGAGAACCGGAGAGAGAGAATGGGGAGTCTCTTGGGGGAGAGACCCAAGCAGCACGAGACGCTTGCAAGGCCAGAGACAGGAGAGACAGAGACACCTGTGGGGGAGCCTGGAGAGACAGAGACTCCAAGAGGGGAAAGACAGGAATCGGGAGAGACAGGGACAGAGACTAGAAACTCATGAGAAAGAGCCAGAGATGGTGAGACACACATGGCTAGAGAGCATGAGACCTCTGGAAAGACAGTTCAGGAGAGACTGAAATAGGGGGCTAAAGCTTTCTTAGAGGTACAGAAAGGGAGAAAGAAAGATGAGGGAGGGACAAAGACAGAAACAGAGACCCAGAGAGAGCGAGAGAGAGAGAGAGAGGCAGCCTGAGAGAAAGCAGTTTGAGTTCCACACTGGGGACAGGGACCCAGAAACCTAGGCAGAGAAATGGAGGGGAAAGAGAGGATGAAGAAAGAAGGAAGAAGGGAGTACTACTTGGACAGAACAGGACAGAGGAGATGCTAGCCAAGAAGAGAGGGACAAAGATGGAGTGCTGTGAGGATAGAAGGGAAAGAAGAGGGAGGCAGAGTTGGAAGTGCACAGGGACAGTAACTAAATGATACACTTAGATGGGGGTTGGGGGGGATGAAGGGATAGAGAGAAGCCCAGAGAATGGAAGGATAATGTGGGACAATGCTGAAACAAGCGTGTAGGAGAGAGAGAGACAGAGACAGATTCAGAGGCGGAAAAATTTGTCAAAAAGACTGGACCACTTGGGAGGAAAAGTATCAGAGTCTTGGAAGGAGGAATGACATTGAAGGAGAGGGGTTGAGGTTAGGGTGGATAGACACCAAGTGGGAAGGAAGATGGAGATAATGGAGAAAAAGAAGCAAAGGCTAATGGATGATCATGGGCAGAAACAGGAGTCAGACAACACCGGGTCCAGAGGCAGAGTCAGTGCAGTGGGAAGAAGGCTGGTTCTGGAGTCTGACCCTACTTCAAATTCCTATTCTAACACTACCACTTGTGAACTTGGGCAAGTGACTTCACTTCTCTGGGCCTCAGTTTCTTTATCTGTGAAATGAGCAGGTTTGACTAGAAGACCTCAAAGGTCCATTTCAGCTCTACCTCTAAGATTCCATGTTTCCTAGACTAATACCTGAAGGTCCTCAGAGGAGAATAAGAAGCACTGAAGAAGCCACAGGTTGGAGTAAAAGCATTTATAATTTAGATGACTAGAGTCGGTCGGGAGGTTGGGAACTAACCTTTCAACAGAACCTTTGAGCTCAAGAGTATGTATTTATTGAGGAGGTTAAGACAAAGTGGCAGTATGTTGGAGTGTGTCCCTAGAGTCTGGAGGGAAAGAGTAGCTCAGCCCTGGATTGATTTAAATGCTAAGATTCTGGTTCCTAATCCCATCTCTACTTTCTGGTTTGGGTTTCCCTTTTTCCTAGGATCCTAGTTTTCCCCCCAGATTCTTTATTTCCTGATCTCTGAGGCCTTGGGGCATTCTCTCTGAAGTTCATGGGTGATTTTAATCATAACGTCTTTGCTAAAGTGGCTATATCCTTCTGATCCTTCTCTAGGATCAGAGTTTAACAAAGTTTCTGATTCTGTATGCCCTCAAAGACCACCATGGGGGGTGAAGAGGTGGGATGCGCGTGAAGAAGTGCAAGAAGATGGAGAAGGGTGAAGTGAGAAGCAGAAATTCAATTTGAAAAACATTTATTAAGAACCTACTCTATACAAGGTTTTGGATATACACAAACACACAAACACACATATACACATATATACATATACACACATATATACATTACACACATTAGGTATCTATATATAGATA